TTTTGGAGATCAGCTGCTTAATGTCTCCATAGGCTTCAAATCAATACAAAGGGCACATGGATGTTTAGATTAATTTCTGTGCTCCAAGAAGTATAAAAGTATCTAAGGCCATGCATTCCATGCTTACCAGCAAGTTTATCATCAACAGACACATTACTTTAGAGCTGCATCATGCTTTCAGGAAAATTTAACTCATACACTGCTATGGTAAAAGGAATGTGTGGACCCTGAGCAGCAACAGAGTATTCAGGAAAGTGAAAGGAAGTTAAAAATTATGACTCTGCTTCAAGGAACAATCTCTCAAAGCAAAAGGCAACCTCCTGACACTGTGAAGGGAACTAGGATCTACTGTAAAAGAGCCAWCTGTGTACAATCCTGGAAGAAGGAAGTCATGAAAGTCACTAGAAAAAAAAAAAATCACTTGTTTGCATTCTTGATCGCATCCTATGGAGCCATCCCCTACCACATTTCAATGTAAGTTCATTTGTGCCTGCACACGTCCATACACACACAATTTGTTTCAAGGACACCTGAGTAAGTGGCTTTAGACTGCTGGTGTTTTCCAAAGCACACAAACTAGAATAATCAGACATTACATGTTATAAAAGAGATTTTAAAGTTGCCCAGTAGCTGAATTACATGGTATCAGTGCAAATACTAGATATAGCTATTAAAGGGTTTTTTAATTTTTTTAATAAGCATAGTACATATTATGAACTTCCCTTGTAGAATGTAAACAGGATTTCAGAAGGGGAATTAATAACGAAAAATTCAAATAATAGTTTCAAAACTGGAGCACAAACTAACTACGTAACAAACACTCTGACAAGACACATTTGTTCGGAGTTAGGCTTTTATAGCTGTCACCTATCCTTCATTCCTCTTAAAATCTTAAAATTGAGTTCATGACACTAAGACAGTTAATATCACCTCCCAAATTAGTCATAATTATTATCTTTTTGAACCACTGTGGGGTTTCATCCTGAATCCCTCTATGGGATGCCTACACTATGGGATGGGAAGTGTTTAAGTTCCTGACCTCTCACCTCCAACATAAGCAATATCCTCCATACTTGTATCATTTCTCCTCTTCTCTATCTCTTAAGGCTAAATTTTTGGTCTTTCTTCTGGCAGCAGCTTTCTCAGGCTCTTGAATGTTCTTGTCATCCTTTTTCCAATCCCCCTATTTCAGTCACGTCCTTTTTGAGCCCAGGAGGCCAAAATTGCACACTGTATTCTAGCTGAGACCACAATTCTATACAAAAAGCAGTATAATACCCTCTCAGTTACTCAACTTCTTCGGAGMCTTGAATGATGTGCAACCCAATATCACAGCTGGGTTTTGACTGTTGTAATTTGAGCAAGTGTCCCCACTGATCTCTCATACTTGTCCCTTCCAGATCTGTCAGGACTGASTGTTTGCACTCAGTCTTTCTTCATTCACCACTGATCTTCATCCAGCACTGTTCTGCCCTCTTGGTGGAAAACTTTAGAATCAATAGTTCTTGCTGCTCCTGAACAGACTATGTAAGTATTTCCACTACTGATTTTGCAACATGGTGGCTCCATCTCTCTCTCAACAAATAGGTTAACAACAGAAATCTTTGTTAATTTGTAGATACGCAAAGCCCAGCTCTGRTCTCTTTCAACCCCAACAGATTAGTTTAACCCTCTGCTTTTCCTCTCCTCCCCAGCTTTCAGTGATAACAGTATTTTGTCTGTTACTCTACATTATTGGAGTTTTGAGAGTTTTTTTTGTTGAGAGCTCTGTCACTTACAGCATTTTGTTTCCAATTACTCAGTATTTTCTAATGCATTCTCCATTCTAGAAGATCACTGAAACATTGGCCCTTACTGGGGAAAGATAAAAAATTAAGAAAAGCTGGTGTACTATATCTTGCCTCTCTGGTACGCTACTATTGTTTTTAAATGAGGATTTCAAGTTGTTTGCCAAGCCCAACTGTAAAGTGTTAATTAAATGTATCACTGAATTAAGTAACTACCCTGTAACTGATTCACAGCTGAAGCTCTGTTTCCAGTGCAATTTATAGGAGACACAAGCCTCGAATCAGTGCTAAACCCAGCCACAAATCAAAGTCCTCTGGCATATGGACCAATCGGCCCAGCAGAGGTTTGCTGCTGGAGCACTCAGCAGTTTGTGCTTGAATCCCAGCCCTTGGCCACGCCATTTCTGCTCACAGGGATTTGCAATCCTCAACATTGCGCTGCTCTCCTCTGCAGATTTGCCAGGCATCCATGTAGATTCATAGGTGTTTCTATGTGATTTCTGGAAACCAAAACATGCCCTACTATCTAGAAGCCTGTCAAGTGTTCTTCTTGTCTCAAAACCCTCCAAAATTTGAATTCTCAGCTCCAAAGGATCCTCTGTCATGCAGGAATTCAAGTTTTTTATGTGGGATGTCAATCAGCAATCCAGGAAGGACAGGAAAAATGAGTAGGACACAATGTCTTCCATGATCTCTTCTGCACCAAGGAAGCAGCTCTATCAAGGATGTTTTTTAATCCTTTTTTCTCCAAGAAAAGGTCAACTGGACGCTGTGTACCTTTGAGGATGAACACCAGGAAAGAACAAACCAGAAGAATTCCACTGACTCAACCAGGATTTTGGAAAAAGGAAACAAAGGAAGAAAGAAAACCTAGCGTGTATGATGTCCAACCTCACTTTCATCATCTTAGATGGAGAGACAGAGACTGCTGAAACCATAGCAGAGGCCAATATGACAGAAGGGTTATTGTAAATGATATCYGTAATAAAAAATGCAATAAAATTACAAGGATGCACTGGTGTTATTACACTTTAGAAATTAAATTCCAGCACTGAAAAACTCACAGGCATAGACATATTCTGAAATCTTTCAGACAGCCCTCACAATGACAGCATTGCTTCCTTAGGGCTCAGTCCTGCCTTGCTTGAAATTAGTCTGCCTCCTTTCCAGTTTCAGCACTGCAAGACTAAACCTTGGCATCTTTGTTCTGTGCAAGCATCCACACAGGTCAGTGAAGAAACTGCAGCCACTCTCCCCGGGATCCCTATCCCGTACCTTCTTTGTTCAGGAGTCTGCAACATTATCAAATGTCTCCKTATTGAACCAAATGCCACCACAGTGATTGGAACACAGCCCAAAAGTGGGCACTTCTTGTCTATTTGCCCCCAAATCTACAGCACGCAGAGCAAAAAGACAAGAACAACAAAAAAACCCCTATGTGTGCGCTTCCCCTGCTTCATAAGAGCTGCATTTCATCATGTCATCCACCCTAGAATCACAGTCTCTGGGYTGGGAATATAGCTCTGCTCCCAGCATGCTCCCCATTTGCCTGTCAGTTCASTGTGGTGGGTGCTGAGTAACCCTCCTTCTTCCTTACATCAGCATTTTTAAGGCTTTAATATTCTGTTTGATCTGTTGGAGGCTGTGGGAGGAGTAAGCAATTTTCTGTCTGGCTTATTAGCAAGGTAGGGAATACTCCCCAGTTAATACMTTCTGTAGCATTGCCTTTAGACCTCTTATCCATGACATTGTTCTGCCTTTTTTTTGGTCTTTTTTAAGCGGTTTCTGTTTAACTTTACGCATTCAGGCAAGGAGATATAATGCAAATAACCTGAGAGCCAACGTTATTTATAACTTTCCTGCACATAACACCCTCATTCTCCCCACCACCCTTTCACTCTATAAAAATATACGAGAGTAAACAGGCACTCCAGAAAAAGAAACCCAGGCATCCAGTGTTAAAACTGAACAGCTAAGAGCTTAGCAGCAGCAGATATAACCTCACCTCCTTGTGAATAATGCCTTGCTATTTAGTCTGGTTACAGATGCACCATACTGCCAATACTATGCTTGTGTGGTATCAGCTTTTCTCTACAATCTCTAACACAAGTCTGGAGGATTATGTAAGTGGAGGCCAAAGAACYCATTTGGAGAATTGAAAAAAAACACCAAGTATGTTTAAAAATTAAGACTTAAAAAATTATACAAATCAGAATTAAAATGCTGAAGCATAGACAGTGTAATGTGGAAAATAAATGATATATACTTCAAAAGGCAGGGTGAGGAAAGGAAAGGAAAGGAAAGGAAAGGAAAGGAAAGGAAAGGAAAGGAAAGGAAAGGAAAGGAAAGGAAAGGAAAGGAAAGGAAAGGAAA